TTTCGCCCATATTTGGCCTTTTTTTTTCCTTCTCCCCTTCCCAAAGAGATGGAAGAAAGCAAAGGAACTCGTCGTTTGTCTTCTTTTGTGGAACCGACTGGGGTCATATCGTGTTTGGATGATGGTATACGAGACGAGATAACAGTGCAAGACCAACTGATTCGTGTTTTTCTAGGACGAACTCAACGACCTTGATGAAAGCGATGCGGAGCCTCAGCCTCCGAGTGCGCCGCCCAGCAAAGAAGATGACAAGGACGAAAAAGAAGAAGAAGAAGAAGTCGCGAAGCCTACAAAGCCTGCAAAGCAAAAGAGAATAACCAAGCGCGCCAAACCGGCACCTGCCCGCGGACGCAAACGCAAAGCCGCTGCGTCCGAAGAAGAAGAAGAAGAAGAGGAGGAGGAAGACGACGAAGACGATGATGATGGGTCAGACTTTTCGGAGCCAAAAGCCAAGGTTGCAAAAGTGCAAGGACGCGGGCGAGGGCGCCAAAAGAAGGTCGCGCAACCAAAAAGTGATTCCGAAGATGAAGATGAAGTTCCAGAAAATGCCAAAGACGACGAAGACGAAGATGGCGAAAAGCTCGGTGACAGTGATGCAGAGATGCCTAACGCATCGACAGCAAAGACTGAGAAGGTGGTCGCTAGAGATGAAGATGATAGCAGCTCTTTGTCCTCGGTCATTGACGATGAGCCCCCGGCTGAACAGTCCAAGAAGGCCAAGAAGGCTGCAGCGCCTGTCGAACAACCTGGTGACGACAGTGACTCCCTCTCCTCAGTCATCGACGACGGGCCGCCAGCCAGGAAAAAGGCCAAGGCCAAGACCCCTGCCGCCAAGAAGGGCGCAGCGAGTGCTCCGCGAAAACGCAAATCTTCATCCGCAGGGGCAACAGCAGCAGCAGCAGCACCAGAAGGTTCGGACGAGGCTGAGATCAAGAAGCTGCAAGGCCAACTGGTCAAGTGCGGTGTGCGCAAGATCTGGGGCATTGAGCTCAAAAAGTTTGGCGACGACACGCGGGCCAAGATGCGGCATCTGCGCGACATGTTGAGGGAGATTGGTATGGACGGACGCTTCAGTGAGGCGAAAGCGCGTGAGATCAAGGAGAAGAGGGAGCTGGCCAAGGAGTTGGAGGCTGTTACTGAGATGAATGATTTATGGGGCAGTACCGGCCGGAGGGCGAGGAGGAATGCGGCGCCCAAGGGGAAATTGAGGGAAGGCAGTGCCAGTGATGAGGATGATGAGGAAGAGGAGGAAGAGGAGGAGGATGCAGGCGGAGAGGGAGAGGTGAAGAGTGCTGGCAAGAGCAAGAGGCGCATGATAACAGGAAGGAAAAACGCTGCTGTTGCTGATGAGGATGGGAATGAAGATGGCGGTGGTAGTGGTGGGGAGCATGGTGATGCACCTCGGGCTGGCGGCCGGCGCAGAGTTCGGCCTGAGTTGGCTTTTCTTGGTGATGACAGTGATTCGGATTGAGGAGGTGTAGAGGATATTGCTGTGGTTTTGTTGGTGGTATTTATCGTTTTGCGCAAGTCGCATGTTGCAAGCAGCGAGTAGCTAAGTGGGCATAGTAGGCAAATATTGCTCTGTGGGCTTGGTATCTGACTTATTGTAATGAAGGGGCCATTGATATGGTCATGTTGTACGTGGAGAATGCAAAGAATCCGAGATGCAGTGGATATATTGGCTTCCTTTTGGGGAGTCTGTGGCCCAAGAAGATCCTGAGCATGAGCTCCTACTGGTTGGGTATATGTCCAGGAAGTGCTGGACGTGACAGTAGCCTCTTGAAGCTGACCTCAGCTTCATCCTTCACCAAGCCAGTTAGTGAAACAATTTTGATGCCGTTCACACCAGTTCCACCAGTATTGGAGCTGGCATTTGGTCCTCAATTCTGATAAGTGCTCTCGTGCCGTACACGAGTACGATATCATGGCTGGCGTTGATGTCCTTGAATGCTGTATATGTGATCTGGTCTCTCGTCCGGTCATATTCATTCTTTCTCGTTTTCTTCTTTTCATCCTTCTTTAATTTCCAACATCGTCATTTGGAAGCATTCATCCGCTGCGCAATGAGACTGAAGACGGCCACGGAGCCCATGAAGAGGACAGCGTTGTAGAACTGTTTGTGTTGGTCAAGGATCACAGAAGCCGGGATCAGCGAGGCTCTTTTTGGCGGCGAGTGGGAGTGGGAAAACGGAGAGGGAACAATAAAGAGAATAAAAGGAAGTAGAACGAGAGAAGATGGGAAACGAAAAATCAAAATGCGAGGAACATACAGCTCTTCTCGAGACTTCTCGCTCTTCGTCGTCACTCCTTGCTTCGATGAAGAGTCTGCGGAGGTTCGGGAAAGCCTGTACGTGTTGTGAGTAAGTGAGGGAGAAGTTGCAATCATCTGCTTCATGGGATGACCCGGTGGGATTCAGGTTGTGGAGGATAACAACAAACCATCGTGAACGCAAATTTATGAGTGAATCACTTTGCCTCTTTTTTTCCTAAGGAAAGGAAAGTTGATGATGGACAGATGTGTATAGCCTTCTTAGAAGAACGACAGGATTGCAGTCGGTATGGTTGGTGCGGGTCGGAAGGCTGAACGGCTGTGGAGGAGGCAGTCGACCTCCCAAGAGGTTTCTATAAAAGTCACTGGCCTAAATGATGGCTGTTGTTGAGAGAGTGCACCGAGACATTATTCTGAGTTGAGAGCTTGAAATGTGGCAATGGCGCAAAACATTGGATGAATCAACCTGTATGTAATGCAGAATCTAACAAGCAAGCCGGGATTTATGATGAGGACTTTTATTTCTTTTTTTCAACCGAGAGTTGCAGACTGTTCAGAATAGTTCCATCGGCAGAACCAGAGTCAGAGTCCCTGCATCTTTGGACGTCGTCAATTGTGCTGACGGAGCCGAGTGACGGTCGATCGATGGCCGGCCCCACTTGTAAGCACAGTGGCCAATCAAAGCTGGATATGACCCGCGGCAAGAGCCGGGCAGCTTTTTGGGAAAGTGCAAGGCGCGCCAAAAAGAAGGAGCAACTGCATCACGCATCTCGCCATCCACCTCAGCGCCTCACGACCCGGCGTCGAGCCTACCCAGCAATTCACCATGATATTAAGAAATTCAGCTCTGCGGCAAGGTATGTTGTGCCTTCTGTGGCATTCTCAGCAGCCTGCTTGAGTTCAGTAATGCTGACGATCTCGTTGAAACCACCTAGGCCGCCAGGTCTTCACAGCATCATGTAAAGCCTCACAATCTGCACCAACCGGCCTGCGTGCCCTCTCAACAGACCGTCTCTCTCCTCTCCCCACCGCCTATGCCGACCCTTCCACCCTGACGACCTCCAGCCCCCAAGTCGCCGCCGCCGCCGCCGCAGCCACTGCAGTCTCGAACCCTCGTGTCCTCTCAGCAGTAGCACAAGCGACCTCGTCCTCGCCAAAGAAGGGACCCAAGCGCGGCAAGACGGCTTCCGTCAGCAACCGCGTGGCGAACCAGTTCCGCCGCAGCGAGGCCATAAAGGACTCGATTGGCGACCTCGGATCCACCGTCGAGCACCGCTTCCGCCCGTCGAGCCTGCTGCAGGACCCGCCGCGGCCCGAGGACGTGACGCTCGAGCTGCTCATGTCTGCGCAGTGCCACATGGGCCACCACGCGTCGCTGTGGAACCCGGCCAACCAGCGCTACATCTACGGTGTGCGTTCTGGCATCCACATCATTTCGCTCGAGGAGATTGCCGCGTCGCTGCGCCGTGCCGCCAAGGTCGTCGAGCAGACGGCCTACTTGGGCGGCTTGATTCTTTTTGTGGGCAACCGCAAGGGCCAGATGGAGGTGGTATCGCGGGCGGCCGAGCTGGCGGGCGCGTGCCACTTGTTCTCCAAGTGGGTGCCCGGCACCATTACGAACCGCGATCAGATTCTCGGCAAGGAGCAACTCAAGATTGTCAATGAAAAGGACGAGACTCTGACTGGCTTTGAGAAACACTTGCTCGAGCGCAGGCCCATGATGCCGCAGCTTGTCGTTGTGCTCAACCCGCTGGAGAACTTTACCCTGCTCAACGAGTGTGCGCAGGAGAACATCCCGACCATTGGACTGGTCGATACAAATGGCGACCCAACAAAGGTCACATATGTGATTCCCGGAAATGACGACAGGTGAGTTGTGCTGACTGTTATTTCCTTGGTCACTTTCCCCTCTTTCTGTCCTGTCAGGCCTGCATGTAGCCAAGACATCAATCACTGACGCTTCCTCTTCCTCTACACAGTATACGATCAGTCAGTGTTATTGCTGGGGTGCTGGGTCGGGCAGGTGAAAGCGGGCAAAAGAGGCGCCTCGCAGATGCTGCCAAGGGTATTTGCACATGGCGAAAGCCAGCAGAACTTCGTAAGTGGGAAGCGGACCAAGTGTCCGCCGCAAAGGCCGCCGCGGAGCTCGCTGCAGAGCAGAAGGCAGAGAAAGTGAAGGACAACAAGGGTGAACAAGGCGGAGCTGCCAAAGAAGAGGCGACGGAGAAAGAGGACAGCCACATCAGTGCCGTTATGGAGCAGATCCGTCTCTAGGCAGATAGCAAAAAAAAAAAAAAAAAGCGAGTACCGTCTCGAGTGTGTTCAGACCTTTGGGAATCTGCAAGTCGACGTGTTCCTATTGTGCTTGAAGATTGATGAGGCATACTGCCGCTTTCAAACTGCCAGTGGTGTCACAGTAGTAGTCTCTCTATCCGATGGCTTACTGTATAGCAGACCGTTCGGTGTAGTTGACTCGCAATTCAATGTGCGCATGGCTTGGTAAGTCTATTTTATACGCGCTCAGCTAGTGGTCACGGCCCCATTCAGATTGGTGTCCTGCTTACCACCACAACACGCTTCTCATCACATCGCATTTCCCGTTACATAACACTTCTCACCATATCACATTTCGCAAAAGCAAGTGATGAAAATGTGGTCTTCAATGTACGAATGCGATCTATGATGACAAACAGACAATGGCAAAAATCAAGCGAAAATTTACAAAAAATCATGACAAGAACGAGATTCGAACTCGCGCCTCTTTCGAGACTACGAAATTGAGTAATTCAACCGGAAGTTGAACACCTGAACGTAGCGCCTTAGACCGCTCGGCCATCTTGCCTTCTAATTTGTAAAGCTAAGAACAAAAGAAATATTATATTACAATAATAGACCAGCATATCTGCGCACATCCGAAACCGGGCCGGATATGCCTCGCGCATTGCGCAACATCGCACGCCAATGCCTCTTCTACTCAACCATCGGGCTAGAATGTTATGGATATGACCGATTGTGCAGTTGCGAAACGTTGCGCCTTGGAGTAGCGGCTCTTTTGGTGGGTCGGTTATGCGGTAAGTGTAGTCACGGACCGTGCGATTGGTTCTTTCTATTTATGGCCTTGCTTCCAAGTTGCTGTCTGGTGCAATTGAGCAGACAATTGATGCTGATAAAGGAGCAGACAACCCTCGCCCACTGTTCAAATACAAACCCGTCGTCAGTCGATGAGGGAGCTCACATTGTATCTTCGTAACCAAGAAACGTTCCACTGCTCCTCCCTCTCAGCGACCATGCCAGCCATTATTGACGATCCATCGACGGCCACCATGTACCGGACCTCTGGCGAGGCGCCATATCCAGGCCCTGCCTCGCCGCTGCCCGCCAACATCAAGCCGCGCCAAGTGACGCTGCGCGATAGACAGACTGTCGCCACTATTGTTCCCTTTTCCTCCAAGGATCAGGTTCCGCGGTCGCTGCTACTCTACCTCAGCGACCAGTTCGCCAAGGAAGTCGAAAAGGGCGACACGTATCCCATGATGGAGACGATGCCCGCGGACAGCTTCGCTGCATACTGGTTCCAAAACTTTGGCGCCATTATGCTTCTCGGCAGCATTGAAACGCCCGAGAGCGTGGTCGAGGGCAAGGACTGGACCAAGGAGTGCTTGGGCAGCTTTTACATCAAGCCGAATTATCCTGGCAGATCCAGTCATGGTAGGTGCTGTGTTAAGCATTATCTTGCTTGAATCATGTTTCTGACCCCATGCTCTTCTAACCTGCCAAACGTATAGTGAGCAACGCTGGATTTCTCGTCACAGATGCCTCGCGGAATCGTGGTGTCGGTCGGCTGATGGGCGAGGCGTACCTCGACTATTCACCCAAATTGGGCTACACCTACTCCGTCTTCAACCTTGTCTATGAAACCAACGTGGCCTCGTGCCGCATCTGGGACGCGCTGGGTTTCAAGCGCATTGGCCGGGTCCCCGGCTGCGGCAACCTCAAGTCCTATCCGGGCCGGTTAGTCGACGCCATCATCTACGGGCGCGACCTAACGCCGGTGGGCGACGCGGGTGCTGACGCCGACGAGCTACTACTCGTGAGTGAAGAGCGTTTCGAAAAGATCAAATACTACCTCAAACACGGAAGGTATCCTAACGGGGCGGACCGCGCTGAAAAATCCAGGCTCCGCAGCGCGGCAACGCATTATAAGTTGATTGAGGGCCCGAACCCCGACGGCGTCGACGATGTGCTCATGCTCAAGGACAAGGAGGTCATTTCGGACCCGGTCCGGCAGTACGACATTGCACGACGAGCGCATGTCGGCCAAATGCACGCCGGCATCAACAAGACGACGGCCCTGATTGCTGAAAAGTACCATTGGCGTGGGATCAAGGATACAGTTTCCGATATCATCAGGGCTTGTTCTGAATGCGAGGATGGTGCGAAAGCGGGGAGTGGGCTTGGGAAACCTTCGACGCCGAGTCAGACTCCATCTTCTTCGTCAATATTTACAAATGCTTTGGCACCACCGCCTCCATCATCCCATGCAGCAGTATCTTGTGTGTCACTCGAATCAGATGCTACGATGATCGATGCAACAGCCTCGAATAGATCCAACGGAGACGAGTGCTGTCATTCGAGCTCTTCAAAAAGCCCTCAGCCTGTACCATTCCAGACACAGCACTCAGAGCATGTCACTGCCCAGCCGCCAATGTCGCCTCGAAACTTAGACTCAAAGACAACACACCACACCTTCATAGCGGATGACAGCCATGCGCCATTTGAGCCAATAGATCCTCGAATATTGAACTCGCCCTTGCAGGACCACACCTCTTCACCTTTTCACCTACATCACACAGCAGATTATGGTCGATACGGTCAGGACCATCCGTATACTTTGCGCGATGGCGGTGGTTCTGGGATGGATATAGACGAGGATGCTATTCGTCAGCTACTTACAGCCAGTAGCAGTCTTGATCACCAGCACAGTCTGGCTGGCGACCTGTCTGATAGAGAACTGGAGTTGATACTTATGCAACAGTTGCAGGACGAGCCACCACCGGCTTAAGGTGACTCTCTGTTCCTTTGCCCGGAATACAAAAGTTACTCGCTGGGCTGCTCTAGAGACTTTTATGTAGACAGACTGGACCGTCAATTTGAGGAAACGGTGTTTATATATTCCTATATTACTACTTGTCGATAACAAAAGCAGAGGTGTATGATAGGTGATGTGCTATACCTTCACGGTCGGAACAGAGAGACCTTGCTGGTGAATGTTGTTCTTGGGAATTTGAACTCAAGATATCCGATAGAAGCCAGGCATAACCAGCAGTGTTAAAAGTTGGGAAACAAACTCAAGACTCGTGTGATTTGAAGTGGTTAACAAAGAACACCGAAATGGGAGGGCAGTACTTGGGTACTTGTAAAAGGCACGTACGAACCGCCAGGGGCTGCCTGGACGTCTTGCATGAAGTACCAATTGCGCGGGAAGCTGCTTTTAGAGTGTCACTTGTCAGGCAGATCAGGCCCAGGGCTCTCTCCCTTAGCCGCTCTCCCGCTAGAATAGATGCACGTCAGGGGCGGCTGGCCCGAGCGTCTTCAAGCGTCCAGAACAGCTTGGCCTTGCAGGTGAACGTCCCTCGACTCCGGTGAGCGACCTGTGTCTGTTGCAAAAGGACCCCGTCCCCAACATCCGTCAGACTCGCCCAAATTCGCTCCAGCCCGTGAGGCAACATCTTCCTGGGGCTCGCTGTAAGCCAACTTGAACGCAGTCACCGCACTGCCTCTTCCAAACATCTAGCCACTTGCTGGCAAGACCCCCGACCGAATAATCGACCGACCGACCGACCGACCGACAGACAGACAGACAGCCTTGCCGCGCCGTTCTCTCGCACGTGCGGCACCCTCGCAACAAGGCGTCCAACACCATGGCGGTCAACAGGATTAAGGGCGCGTTCGCCGCCCCGCGAAAGGGAGAGACGTTCGAGCTGCGTGCAGGCTTGGTGTCGCAGTATGCCTACGAGCGCAAGGAGGCTATCCAGAAGACTATCATGGCCATGACCCTGGGCAAGGACGTGTCGGCTCTGTTCCCCGACGTTCTCAAGAACATTGCCACGTCTGATTTGGACCAGAAGAAGCTGGTGTATCTGTACTTGATGTGAGTTTGCGAGAGCTACCAGTCAGATTCCCATGGCGAAACTGGGAATGGCCTCACCTCCAGATCAGGCAGACACTGAACAATTGCTCTTCAACAGGAACTACGCAAAGACGCATCCCGACCTCTGTATCCTCGCCGTCAACACATTCGTCCAAGACTCGGAAGACCCCAATCCGCTTATACGAGCCCTCGCTATCCGAACCATGGGCTGCATCCGCGTAGATAAAATGATAGACTACATGGAGGAGCCGTTACGAAAGACGCTGCGCGACGAATCGCCCTACGTGCGCAAGACAGCCGCCATTTGCGTGGCCAAGCTCTTCGACCTCAATCCGACCATGTGCATTGAGAACGGCTTCATCGAGACCCTGCAGGAGATGATTGGCGATTCCAACCCGGCGGTCGTAGCAAACTCGGTCCAGGCTCTCTCCGAGATCAACGAGACGGCACCCGAGACGAGGGCCCTGGTTGTGACGCCTGCCATGCTCAAGAAGCTTCTCATGGCTCTCAACGAATGTACCGAGTGGGGTCGTGTGACGCTCTTGTCGACGCTCGCAGACTACCCGCCGGTGGACGTCAAGGAATCAGAGCACATTTGCGAAAGGATCGCGCCGCAGTTCCAGCACAACAACCCTAGTGTCGTTCTCGCGGCGGTCAAGGTCGTCTTCACCCACATGAAGGCCATCAGCCCTGAGCTAGTGCACACGTATCTTAAGAAGATGGCTCCGCCATTGGGTGCGTATAGCAGAACAATATGAGGAATTCGGAATGCCACAATTTACTGACTCAAGCCACACAGTAACTCTTGTTGCTTCTGCGCCTGAAGTGCAATACGTTGCCTTGAAGAACATCGATCTGCTGCTACAGGCCAAGCCAGACATTCTCAGCAAGGAGATGCGTGTCTTCTTTTGCAAATACAACGACCCGCCATACCTGAAGCTGCAAAAGCTCGAAATCATGGTTCGGATAGCAAATGAAAAGAACTACGAGCAGCTCCTTGCCGAACTGAAGGAGTATGCCCTCGAAGTCGACATGGACTTTGTGCGCCGGGCCATCAAGGCCATTGGACAGGTGGCCATCAAAATTGAGAGCGCAAGCGAGAAGTGCGTCAACGCTTTGCTGGATCTGATAGCGACCAAGGTCAACTATGTCGTGCAAGAGGTCGTTGTGGTCATTATGGACATTTTGCGCAAATACCCCGGCTATGAGGCTGTCATTCCCACGCTCTGCGAGCACATTGACGAGCTAGACGAGCCACACGCTAGGGGTTCTTTGATATGGATTGTGGGCGAGTATGCTGAGAAGATCAACAACGCGGATGAAATACTGGAGAGCTTTGTGGATGGATTCATGGAGGAGTTTACACAGGTATGTTGGCTGTTGCTCGATGTGAAAGTGTTGGATCTGAAGCTGACTGATCTTGGCGTATACAGACGCAATTGCAGATCTTGACTGCGGTCGTCAAGCTGTTCCTCAAGAAGCCAAACAGCGCCCAAGCTCTTGTCCAAAAGGTTCTTCAGCAGGCCACAGCAGACAACGACAACCCGGATATCCGAGACAGAGCTTATGTATACTGGCGTCTGTTATCAGGCGACCTCGAAGTTGCGAAGGTAAGCAAAGTGGCAATCACTCAATTCGTCTGCACTTCAGGCAGAAGCTAACGCCACCTCCACAGAGCATCATTCTCTCCC